GGACAGCATAACGCGAATACGAATTTTGGTATATGTATATATGTATGTATTTATGTATGTATTTATGTATGTATGAATGTATGTATAATATGTATGTTCCTATGTTGGTACGTCGGACGGGGTACCTACCATCCGCCGTGTCATAAAGTGCACGCACAATTAATTATTATATCAGAATTGACGGGTTGAAAAAAAGATGGATGTGATGTTGGATATAGGTGGGCGATTTTTTATAGGGGTGGGGGATGATTTTGTCTTTTCTATAAGAGCAATAAAGCACCATATACGCGTATCTCATCGTGTCACACACATACACAGTCACACAGATAAACGACGTTAGATGATGATGATGATGATGATGATGATGATGATGATGATGATGATGACGATGACGATCAGGGTAACCATGACGACATGATCATGATCACGATGATATGTCATATAAAATGGAATATTATTATGATATTAATAATATTAAAACGAAATAATAATAATAATAATAATAATAATAATAATAATAATAATAATAATAATAAATTAATTATTATTAATTATATATATATATATATATATGTATATATAATCGGCGTAGAGATCGATTTGATAAAGAAAGATGGATATATACTATTATTTATGTTTGAATATAAACGTGACGAGAAGAGCATATGGAGGACGCGATTGGCTCGTTTGATCTTATTATGGTGATACGAATCTTATTTTTTTTTGTTTTTTTTTGTTTTTTTTTTTTTTCTTGCGACAATTTGGAATTTGCAATATTAATTACTTTCTCTTTTTTCTTCTTTTTTTTTTCTTCTTTAATTTAATTTAATTTACGCGCGCTTTAACATCCGATTTTTTTTTCTTTCCTTTGCCCCACATTTATAATCATGCGTGGCTTTGTCTAATGTATTAAAAAATTATTATTCATTATCACTCTCTCTCTCTCTCCCTCTCTCTCTCTCTCTCCCTCTCTCTTTCTCTCTCCCTCTCTCTTTCTTTTTTTCTGCGTAATTTCGGTCAAATGTGTTTAAATATATATATATACATACGCATACATACATATATATATATTTTTATTTTTTTTTTAATTTGCTATGTCTACACACACATGTCATATACACATACTCACATACATACATACACACATACATACATCATACACACACGCACACACACACACACACACACACTT